GGGTTTCGGGGCCTGGGGGGGTTCGGGCATCCTCGGCTGGGGCAGCGGTCCCCCCAGCATTTCCCACATCCCGGGAGGCAACCCAAGTCCATTTTCCAGCATGGTTATCAACTCTCTCTGCTCTTTCATTTGCTGCTGCCTTTGCTCCTCTTGCCTCTTTTGCCTCTGCTTGTCCAGGTTTCTGCTGAGCAAGTTGGTCACCACCATCCTGGGCCCCGGCAGTTCGAAGTGATACCCCATTTTCAGGAGGGTGGCGTTGGCTTTCAGCAGCCTGGCAATCTCCATTTCTGCCTGGTGGCCCAGCATGCTCCTCTGGTTGTGGAAGCGGAGCTCGGTCAGCGTCTCGTTGTACTGCAGGCACCTCATGATGGCAATGATCCCTTTGCCAGAGATGCAGTTGGAGTCGATGTTCAGCGTGGTGATGCTCCTGTTCTCCCGCAGCATGTTGGCCAGCGCGAACGCCACGTTGTCGTCGGCCCCCACGTTGGCCAAGCTGAACGTCTTGATGTTCTTATTCTTCTTCATGGCGTTGACAAAGTCTATCAGCATCTCCTTGGGGACGTTTTCTATGTTGTTCAGGTTGAGCTCTTTCACCTCTGGGTTGTTTTTTCGGACTTTCTCCAAACTGTCTTCTAAGTTGGTTTGATTTCCCGATGGCCTGGCGCTGAGCTTCATGAAGCTGGTATCCAGCGCCAACTTTTTGGGGATGTTTAATTTTGAGATTTTCCTTTCCCTTTCGTTTGGCTTTTCTGTGATTTCTCCCGATTCTGTAGCTGGCTTCTTACTTGCCTCATCCCTGGGATGGTTCTCACTGGTGCAAGTCCTCTTGGTTTCCAATTCAGTCTCATCTTCCTCTTCATTCTCTCCCTCCTCTTCCTCATCATCTCCCTCTTCCGCTTCTTCTTTCTCATCCTCCTCTTCTCCTCTTTCCTTATCGCTTCCATCTTTCTTTGCATGCTCAGGCAGTGTTCCTGAACTGGACAAGTGCTCATTTTGGTACTGCCTCTCCTTCCTCTCTGCTCCTGGCCCCCTCCCGCCGGCCGCCTCGCCGCCGCCACCGACCTCTCCTCCCGTCTCCTCCGCAGCACTTCTCTGAGGGAGACAAAACCTCACAGCTGAAACAGTTGAACGCAGGTTTGTTACATCAGCTTTCTGCTCAAGTGAACACGCAGCAGCTGGATTTAGATGCCTCTATGCCCATAAATTATAGAATAATCTTTGAAAGTGTCTTTGTTTGTAAGTCAGGGCTGTGCTGGCTTGCTCGGGAACACAGGAATGAGTGTTCTGAGACTGGCTGCAAACCAGCTTCTCATCTTTGCCTATTAAATTAAATCCTGACAATTAAAACCTGTATCTATTTAATGCTATGTTAAGGTGGTCCTTGAACCCTCTGATCCAAAGTCTCTTTTTAGATTTCAGGTTATTTTTATAATTTCCTTGATGAGAGAGTTTTTTTCATATGCCACAAACAACTAGAAATCAGAGTTTTGCTGAGCCCAAGGCGGAGTGAAAAGGGCACAGGGTAACAACAGCAGAGTCACCCAGCACACGAGACAAGGCCACCTGCTCTGGTACCTGCCAGAGCATCACAGCTAAGGAAGCACATCAGCAGAGATAGAATAAATACTAGCTCTGTTTTGAGTCCAGAGATAGGAAGCTGGACTCTGCACACAGCTGTTGCAGGGCAGAGGGGCTTCTAGCAACAAAATAAAATAAAACAAATAACAAAATAAAATTAGTTGCCAAATTCTATGATTTCCAGAGAACCTCCTAGCTGAGATGCTTTTCTTTTCACAAAAAAGGCAAGTGGGTCCTGCATCACTGAGCAATGCCAATGAGGTGGTAATAAAGAACAGGTATTCTCCTAGAAGATTTGGTCAGTGTCACAGTTTTTGCACCACTAAAAGTCAGAGAAAATGATCCCAATGTCACTTCTGCCCCCAGGGCTGTGGTTCCAATTTGCTGTGGTAGTAGATGGGCTCAGCCTGGGGATCGCTTGACCAGCTGTGAGTGCAGCAGGCAGCTCTACACTCAAATTCCAGATTTAACCTCAGAAGGGTTAAAAAAAAGCATTTCTTTGAGGGTAAGAGTTTTGCAGGAGGGAAAAAAAACCACAGATTTCCCTCATTTCCTGAGGCAGCCCATGAAACCTGCCCTAGGAAGTCTGTGATGAACTGTGCTGTTGTGTATGAGCAAAACCACTAGTTTTTAATTAAATAAATATCAGTTACCTCAAATTCACTTGGGTTTGGGTATGGATATGTTTCATCTGGCAGAATTTTCACTCTAGTAACCTATTTTTAAGTGTGTCCCTCATCCTGAAAAATCTCTAAGTATGACCTTAACTTTATTTCAAAGTCATAGAGATAGTAGAATAAATTTAAATACTGTATTGAAAAGGATTAGATTCACTCACAGAGTTTGCATGCTTGGTCGTTAGTGAGTTAAAATACAGGGGTCTGGGGTTTTCTCCAGTATGACATTAAATTCTGTCAATTAATTAGTTTAATACATGGGATTAATGTGGTCTTCTCAGAAAAGCAACATGGTGTTGTCCCATACACAAGGCCAAACAAATATGAGTTACATCCTCCAAACTGATTTTATGGCAGTTTTTCAGTGATTTGCTTTACTGAGTCAGAATTAGGATTTGCTTTTGTTAAAAAGCTTAAATAAATATTTAGGAAAAGCAATTTAAAAATTACTAACCCTGATACCAGTCCAAGCTGGATCCTGACATCACTGAGGCTTTCAGGATGAATTTAAATCTGTTTGTACCGCGCCTTACGTAAGGGGCAGGCTAAGGTGTTAAAGCTCTAAAACAGATCCCACAGCAGATGCATAATAAATATTTGTGATTTTTTGCTTGTTACCTCAGAGGGCAAGAGGGTGACGGGAACTCTCTCATCCTCCAGCATGCGTCTAGATGCCTTCTGCCAGTACAGGTAGTCAACCAGGGACCGGTGGTCGAAGCTCCCTGTGGGGGGTTTCTCTGTCTGATCCTTCTGTATCATCCCAGTTGGGACTTCAGGGTCTGGGGCCATGACTTCCATCTCAGACTGCAGCTCCTTGAGCTCCTCGGGGGACAGGTTTGCCAGGATTTCATCTTCATCAATGTCCTCAGGACACTCGTCCTCATCAGAGTTTTGTCTGAATTCAGACATCTTCTCTCTTCTCTCCTTCCTCTATTACTTTTTAAACCTAAAGAGAAAGATAAATTTTAAAGGATATTTTTTTTTCCCACCCCTTCACCAGCAGTAGTTCATTCAGTTATATCAACAACTTCATGTTTTGGTCATGAGCTGTGGCAGCTCTGGGTCTCAGTGTGGGAGACAGACCGTGGAGCTAAGTCTATATTAAGCTGCACTTGGCTGGATAAAGAGAATTTATGGCGATGCTGCCATGCTCCATTTTCAGCAACCTGTCAGCTGTGCAAACCCTTCTGACATTTCAGTGCAGCTGGTGTGTCCCCCATTGAGTAAGGCAGGGGATGGCCACTTTCTAGAGGATTCCTGGGGCGCTGCTCCTCTCAGGGCTTCACCCCATGCTGGAACCACCGTAGGTGGGTGGAGGGACATTTAGGGTACCTGCAAGGTGTGGAGGTGAAATCCTGCACCCTGGGAAGAATCAGCACAAGGGCTCTGTATCTGCAGTGCCCCAGAGATCTCAAAAGGGCTGAGGACTGCAGGCTCTTTGCTGCCTGTAGCCAGGTCTAAACCCTGGCTGAAGGTTGCAGGTGGTTTTGGTGTGAGCGCAGCCATCACGTAACCAATGAGCTTCCCAAGGCCAGATCCTGGTTAAGGTGAAATCCTCCGAGGTGGAAAAAGGCAGGTGAACAACACACACCTTGTGCTTGGGGACAGGGGTCCATGCAGGGACGGGCACCAGCCCTTTAAACCAGCCTGAGCAGCCCCACAGAGCATTTCCCAGGGCACATCCATGCCCTGCTCTCACCAGCCTGCCCTGGGGCAATGCCAACGTCCTGTTTCTTGACTGGCCTGTCTCCATGGATGTTATTTGCTTTGTCAACAGATCTTGGCCCAGAGTTTATCTCAGGTTCATCCTTTTTCTACTTTTTACCTTTTTTTTTTTTTTTTAATAGAATCAATAAGCAACTACAAAGATTTACTTTGCTGATGTTTGTAGAACTGATGTAACTCCGGAAGATTACCTGAAATCCTTTTTTTCCATTAAGTGCTCATTCCAGCTAGGAAGCACCTCTCCTTCTTTGTTCTGAATATTTGATAGGCTTCCAAATTGACATGCCAATCCAGAAAGCCATATCTGCAACTCACTGTGCTGGTGGTGGCTTTGTAAAAGCAGGGCAGCACGGTCAGGGAATTTTTCCACTACGGTGCAACTTCAGTACACCCCAGTCTGGATTGTTCATTGGATTAGGAAGATTTCCTCTCATAATTTCAGATATTCTTTGCAGGGGTTACCAAACCAAATCTTCTCCTTGTGGCGGCCAATGCATCTTTCATAGGAAAGAAACCACAGATGAGAGGCTGTGAAACCAAACCCAGGCAATTTTTAAGGCATATTTCTTGCTACAGCCTCAGCCACGCTCTGCTGGAGCCTGCCAGCAGCAGGATAGTCTCTGCATGACTATTGTCATGTTGTGTAACAAGAATCACCACGCTCAAAGCCCACTTAACCTCTGCTAAACAGCCATTAGCCAAAGGTCCTCATTCAATTCATGCTGTTACACTGCAGGGAAGAGGGCAAAAATTTAAGAATGCAATAACTGGTAAAGGGAAAAATGACAAAAGCCCCAGCCAAGAACAGAATGGCTCCATCTGCCTCTTGGGTGGTTGGGGGGACATCCTTGGTTTATATTATGCAGCAGCAAGCACAACAGCAGACCCACACATCAATCTAGCTGCTCTGCTAGCTCTCACCCCCAGCGACTGCTGTCCATCACAGAGGCCAGAAATGGTTTCCTGAGGTTATCAAATAAATCAGTGCTCTCCAGTAGCTGGTATGTTACTGCCCCAGCCGATGCTCTTTGGGTCACAGAAGGTGTCTGTCCAGTGGTTCCTTATCACTTGCTAATTTCTTGACTGTAAATAAAGCCCGTGGCCACCTTCTTGTGTTTCCATGATCTTTAGCCAGGCCATCTCGGGCTATGGTCTTGTCAGATCTGCTAAGTTAAGTAGGGTCCATGAAGTCCTCTCAAGAAGGAAAACAGGGATACTGAGAACGCTATCAGGTACTTGAAAAGCAATTTTTCTTCTAAGTAGAGATATATCACTTGTCAATACCAGGACTAGGAAACACTACACTTCTGGGAGCAATGCCTTCTCCACAGATGCAGAGCAGCGGGTTGCCCAGTGGCACCTCTCCTGGGGACACAAGTGCTAATCCCACAGATTTCCAGTGTGGGTATCACATTCTGCCTACTTTAGGTTTCTTCCATAAATTACCTCGAGTTCAGGATTCATTTCCCTCTCTAACACATTGCTTAGTGTTTTGGTGTGTTGGAAACAGCACGTTAAGGCAACAAACGACACCCTCCAGGCTGGACACACGCTGATGGCCAAATCTAGAAGTCTTTGCCAAGGAAAAGCTCCCCTCTTCTTCCCAAGTGGTCACCTCAGAGCTTTCCAAAAGCATCACTCGTGTCTCGACCTTCATTAAGGCAGGAAAGCCACTTCCATCAGTAGCACTTGTTACTTTCACACCAATTTGACACTTGCTCAGGAATCCCTGGACTAATAAGGTGCTGCAGGAGGTGCCCTGCTGCCAACCAGCAGAGAGCTGTGCCAGCAGCCACGCTCAGAGCACGAGCAGAAGGCAAGAGGCCCTTGCAGCAATCCCAAGGCCATCCCTACGGGTCACGTCAAGCAGGAATCTAATGAGTGTTAAGCAAAAGCATTTCAGGAGCAAAGTGATGGAAGAGAAGAGCTGCCCTTGGTAATGAACAATTTGTACTCCCTGCTTACTGTTTCTAAGGCAGGTACTTGCCTATGGGTGAACTCTTGCATGAAACCCAGCAGGCTCTCAGGCAGGATTGTTTCACTTCATTGATTTTTTCTCATTTGTGCATTTTTCTCAAAAAATTCCAACCTAGCTCTCCTGGAAGCAAACACATTGACTAGTTTTTAACACCTGCATCAAGCAGGGCCAGCCCCTGTGCCACCATTTGACACAAAGCAGGTCATCAAACCATGCTTCAAGTACCTAAAATTTGTTCTATTTTTAAAGTAATGGATAGGCCATGTGCTGGTGCCAAATTGGGAGCAATTTCTACAAGGTTGGCTTTCATTTTTTTGCTTGTAAAACCCACAAGTTTATTCCCCTTTATTACCAATCCGTGGCACTTCCCAGTGCCAAGGCATTAAGTGGAACAAGTCAGGGAATGGGCCTGTGTAACATAACCTTGCATCACTCGTAGGCTTGATGGGGCAGTCTAAAATTGACAAACAGTAGCATGCACCAAGCATGTCCTGCAAGGCAGTGTAAGGCAATATGGGGATTAGGAAGGGTCAGATGATCAGAACAAAACCAGCCACTGAGAGCAATCACAGGGAGACACCCTGTGGGAAAAACACCAGGGATCAGCTCCAGGGAAAAAAAAACCCCAAAGGCCACACCTCCAAACTGTTACAGATATAAATGTATCAGATGAAGTTTGTTGCTTAGAGTGAGGACATCTGACTTTTGAAGTATTTGCTCCAGTTGCCTGACAGGGAGCTGCAAAGACAAGGCCCTGTGTGAAGGCAGTGGCTGGTGTGGGGAAGGGATGGAGCTGTGGGGA